AAAACTACAAATTAAAAACCTTAGGTGTAGCAAAGAGTATATGTACAATACACTGCAGCAAACAAAACAAAAAATGTATATAAGTATATCGTGAACTCGACACGAAATCAAGGAAAATCTTATCTAATACCAAAAATGCAATGCAATTGTTGTAAAACCCTATTAAATATTAATTAACATTTCCAGCAAGTATCATCGGGAACCAGCCAAAAAAATGTAAATAAACTTTACGTAAGACACACAAAATATCTGTACTTGATTTGTCGGTGACTGGATAGTAATTATCCAAATTGGTACGTTATTCTTATTGGGTTGACAAAAATGTACACTACGAACTGTACAAACATTTCTAACCAACCAGAAAAGGTGCATACAAATTCTCTAAAAGCGTTTAAGTACCAGATGATTTCAACTAATTATTAACAACGGGGTTAATCCCCCAATTCAACATGAACTAGGATGTTAATAACAATTTTACGTAAAGCTTCCAAAACTCGACCAAAAGCTTTGAATCGTCACCGGCAAGTTACAGGAACAAACAAAATACAACACTTAGCTGCATGTATGTCCTTCGCCAAATCCAAAGACACTCCTACGAGACTCCGATGATGGTACGATGAAATCACTGAAACGGCTTTACTGCCCCGATCATTCGTTATAGTTGTCAGACAGCTCCTTCATATAGTTGGCTACTCGCTCATCCATTAACGGTTCTCTCAATCAAATTACACGACTTCCATCCCCGAATGCAGCTGCATACGAATCAAGATCGCAAAGGTTAATTCCTTATGCGGTTCAATATAACAAAAAAAACCTTCCGAAGAACCCTCTCGGAACAAGAACCACTACAAATCAACCTCACATGTAACATCGAAACAATCAGACACAAATTTGGAACAATCCTTACTTTCAGGAAGAAGCGGATGGCTCAAATTAAATTAGCTAACCTTGTTGCAATCTCCGTAACTAAAAACAATTAGCGCGTGGCCCCACATCCACATAAACCAATGGAAAAAAATTGATCTAATCCCGCAAGTGACATCAAGACATTCCCCAATCTGCATTCTGCGAGCCACACCAAACGGATGTCCCCATTTTTAACCAATTTCCATCACGCGACAACTGAGGTACGTGCTATGTTCTACAACAAAGTAGCTTTGATTTAAATCATACTCGCTAAACAAAATGGGTTCCATATTGCTATGAATCTGAAATTGTAGTAAAAGGCCCTAATGGTAAGAAGTACTGTACAACAAAGTATCTTCCTGTACACGCCTTTCCACAGGCGTATGTCTTCAGTTACTTCTAACTGAAAATGCTTCTAAACTGAAGTATTGATAATAGAATCACTATGTTTCGGACATTGCCATAAAGGGGACTTTATCAGTCTTTTAACATATATTGCTTACTTTAATTTCTACAATGAAATTTTTTAGGTGATCATCACCAGATGCGTAACAATCATAAATTTTCGGTAGAAGTCAATAAAGGCATCATTTCATATAATGGTTTTTTTCTTTATACAACGAGTCTTCACTATTTCTCGAGCTACTATATCACTAACAAATATCAAACAACAAATTTCTCAATTAGAAATCGGATATGTCTGTATGAAGAGGAAGACAGGATAAGAAGTAATTTATGTCAAATCAATGGAAAAAAAACTTCTAATTTTCTTAACAAGCCTGAAAAAATGTAAACAACTTAGTTTTACCATAATAGGAGCAGCACATGTAAGAAATTAATTAGAAATTAAATTAGTTATTAATTAAAGTACTTTGATAGATGACCTTATCAAGTCGTTGTTAATCCGTTGGTAATTTACACAAAAAGTGCACGTTTTCCAATGAATGCGATTTAGTGACAACTGATCCGGATCTTGTGATCGATATGTGACGTTTTAGCAACTCGGTGGTCCTACATTTGAATATAATGTACTTAGTATACAATTCTGAAACGAGTTTTTTGTAATTCCCTTATGGTAGTAAGGCGACGACAAGTAGAGACAATATTTAAATCAGAGATTAAATGCGCTAGCTGGTCGGATATTTAGATGTATTTATCTTTCATTGTTTTTGTCGGCAAAAAATCCCTATTCTTGTTGTTTGTTTTTTTATTATCCATTAATTGCCATTAACATGCACAGGAGCCCTTTGTTGCAAAGAGATCGAAACATAAGTTGACAAAAAGTTGATATATTCAAAGAAAACACCGACGATAGTTAACTTCATCGCAATTTATCGGGGTGTACCGTAAGAAGCGTTCCACCTATTAATAAAACGTATTTACATTGCTGATAAAAATATGAGCTACTAAAAGTTTAACGATCGTTTTAAGAACTTCGTCCCATATTTTTTATATTAAAAAAACATTCTCCTTATAGCATGTTGTGGCAAACAACTCGATGAATCAAGACCGGTAACAACTCTTTATGAAATTGCTTGAGATAATCAGGGTTACTATATTTTTGTTTACTTTTTAATTACATGGCAGTGAGGCAGCGTTCCGGTTGAGCAAAAAGATAAAGGCGCCGCGTTCGATTACCGTCTATGACAATGCATATATCTCACCCATCTCGCACATAATTAATATGGCTGCGTTGTTTTACTTCCAGCCATTCTTCTTTGCTTATTATAAATATAGACCATCTACAATATTATTAAAAAAGGAATTTATAACGATGGTTTCGGGGACTTTAAGCATTCTCATACGACAAAATGTGGCGAATTAGAAAGTTTGGCACGTTAAGTGCTTCATTTTTTTGTGTCACTAAATTACCAATTAAATTAGACATCTCAATGGTAACAGTTTCATGTTCCTCAATGAAGATGAGTATTTTGAGCTTCCCATCGTATACTTGCTTCTCAAAGGCGTTCGACCGTATTAATCACAAGATACTTATCGAAAAATTAAACATGCTTATATAACTTTGATCAAAATTTAATAGCCCTGATCAGTGATCATGTCTTATGGCGCCGCTTGCAATATGTTTGATATCATAATACGTATCTGCTAAGTCAGGAGTGCCGCAAGGTTCTAATTTTGGCCCATCTCAGAACAGCAGTGGTGAAAATCAATCCTACTTAAATATGAGTACAATCTTCACAGTCTACCGACAGCCAAAATAGATTTTTTCAAGGGCCGGGGATTCATTACTCCCGGAATATATTGTTATAAACAAAAAACGAAGAAAAAATGGGAAAATGTCGTTTCTTTTCGGATTTGATTTCAATTATCTCGTTACTATTGCTTTTAGTGGAAAAATGAAGAGAAATGAATTTGTTTAGAATCGAGATACAGACGGTATTGAACGTTCATTTTCAAACGATATTGTTTTTATGGAAAAATATAAAAAAAAGTAATCCGGAAAATTAACAATCCATTATTACTAAGTGAGATTCATCCGCTCTTTTTGAAAATCCGAATGCGATCACTTCTTTTGATAACGAAACAATATGACAAACCCGGTCACCATATGTTTCATAGTCATTGGTTAATTAAATATACAAAAAAAACGATGCTTTGTCTTTCAAACTGAGTGACACCCAGAGCGTTCTCAATTTTTTTTACACTCGATTACAATCGACCAACTGTGGAATTTAGACGTCAAAAATAGCAAGCACACGTTCTGCTGGCGCGATCGTTTCCATAGAACAGCATTGCCATATGTTCTTAAAGTCATTTTATATCGTGCTCCGCGTCCTATTTGAAATAAGAATGACTAGTGTCATTAAAATGCACGATCATATGTTTCACTTTATCTACCCTTGCAGTTAAAGAGCTGCTTACCCTCCTCATTCAAACCTATTAAAATGTTAATTTAACATATGCTATAAAATAAATAATATTATCAGATGCTAATACAATGCAAAAAATGATACAGACATAGATCTATAAAATATAAAAATATAATGGCGTTTGGATATGTAAAATTCTTGTACCTTTCTTTTAGATGTTCGACTTTTAATCGAATGCAGCAGATTTGAGGTTGGGGGTTAATTGGAAATTAGTACTCACGGAAATGGGGGTAAATATCAGACTAAAATTCAACATTAATCGGCGTCGGAGGTTATTGCTTTTTTTTTAATAATCTTGCTTGACACAATTGTAATTATGGTAATCATTGGCGTTTTGAAAATTCGGGTTCCTGTTTTTGGGGACTAACCTTATACTGACGCAAAGGGTCGGTAGTGCCCTTCTGAAGCAACCGACATGCAAATTTTACCAAAAGTACATTTAATGTCGAAACATTTCTGTAGATTTTATTGGATTCGGGACTCTTGGAAGGAAGATTTGGTAAATTTTCACACGCGACCAAGCTCTGTGTGAAAACCACCCATCACGTAAGATATCACTAATGGTTTATGAACTAAATTTCACGCTTAGAAATATATAATTCATTGATTCCAATTAGATAACATGTTTTATGACCCTAATGATTCAAAAAAATTTACGAGCCAAGGCAATAAAAATCCTTGCTCTGTATGTCATTAGACGGAACAATAAAATGTAGGTATACCTATATACGTGCAACTGTACTTTTATTATAAAGTTTCAAATGAACTGTTTTTTCTAAACCCACCTGCTGCAGCCTTTTCGCAAGTTTCGTCTAATTTTTATTTTGATATTAAAATTTAAGCACGCTTCTTTGATGTTTCAATTTTTTACGTGTGTTAATGAGTTGTAAATCAGGCTAAGTCACTATGCCGTTCTTAGACTGCGTATGAAATGTATGCAACATTAATTGAAAAAACTTTTTCAAACTCACCCGTAAAAGGTAATCTGTTTAGCTAATTATTTTGCTTGTTTTTCGTAATTAATTAATAATACGCTCAACAAAATACTCTACTGGTATTTTCGTTTAACCACCATATATTATCATTAACCGCAATCTTTGCGTGCAGTTTAAGATTAAATCGCAATAAATTTAAAAGTGCAAATAAAGTTGCAGCTTCCAACGCTACAAAGTAGATGTAATTAATTCGACATTAAGCCGTATCTTCTATTTTATACACTTCTGTCTTTATTAGTCTAGTCATCGTATAAAAATGTCGTCACTTAGATTACGTATACAATAAATTAAACGTACATTAAGGCCTTCCAACCTTTAAATGTATCCAAAATTGAGGTGATGCACCTTTTCCACTCATCTATTTCCTCCAACGTGTCGCAGGATAAGTAATACCTTGAAGCTTGCTCTAAGCTCGTATGCTCTAAAGCTAAAGTGTTCGGTCTTAAGCACACGTTGTGGATGTCGATGATAACGCAGTGCCTTAAGTCGATAAAGAGCTTATAACCGTTTAGGGATTCCTCACTGGGATTACTCCAGAAGTGTAGGACGGAATTAAGAAGCCTACACCAATTTTTATCCCACACCAAGTGACCGTTGCTTTCGGCGCCAATCGTTAGAAACCCGCTATGCTTGAGATTCAAAGCCTGACTGAACGCACTCGCTGAAAGATGAACGACACTCAAAGGTGTACCGTCCCCTTTTTTATTCAATGTCAAAACATTTTGGCTGAGGTTATTAATAGTCAGCTCCAACCACCCGCATTTCTTAAAAGCAGGGCGGATTTTTCCTTCGAGCGTTGCTTCAAAGTGCGCTCCATGCAAAATTTTCTGCTTCAACTTCTGATGTAAACGCCTCGGTTTCTGCAAGTTAAACTCACCAATCAGCAAATTTTGTAAGTAAAGTACTCACCCTCCGATCTGCATTGTCAGAGTTAAGCTCGTACACGTGAAGTTTAATTTTAAAGTCGGGGGACACGCCTTGAAAGCTGTACATTTCGGGCAACTGCAAGTAGGATCTTTTAAGGTTGAGCTCCAGCATGGAAGAAACGTGAAACCTGCGATCGGTTACGCACGTTACAAGATACCAGTAGCGACGTTTCGAATCAATTTCTTCAACGTTAAATGGAAATTTAATATTGGAAATTGTGAGATCGGCCGTGTTTTTGGAATCGCTTGGGTATTGCAGCTCCTCCTTTTCGATTCGGTGCAAGTAGTGCGCTCGTTTCAAGCCTTTTAGAGAGACACTGATATGGATTCAGGGAATGATGATTGATGATACTTACTTGCTGTCAGCAAAATTCGTTCAGCTTCTGCTCGTTGGATGCTGTTATAAAAAACCTTTGATCTCCGACAGACATCAACCGCTTTGGCTGCTTGTTTCAGTATTTGGCTCTGGTCGTAGGCTTTATGGACAAGTTCGCGAATGGCTTCATTTAAATTCCGCACGGATTCGCTAACAGAATCGCGCTCCTGGAAAAGTAATTAAAAATGGTCAAGTGGAATTGTTTCAAACCTCATCCGTTGCGTTGTCTTCGTGCGGTTTAATGTACAACTGGGAATCCATGGTGATAATTGACCTATTTATGTCTGTAGATTTTTTTGGATTCTTAGTCGTCCTCGGCTCGAGAATGTTGACTAAAAATCTCTCGTTGCCCTTACTTTTGCTAGACATCACACTGGACTGTTGGAAGGATTTACGTTTGTCGAACGAATACGTATCACAGTTATCAATTTCGCAAGAGTTTTGCTTAAGGACCATTCCAACCACTACGGGTGGTGGACGCGCAACTACTTCCACTGAAGTATTTGTCCGCAATTTACCCACATTTGTTGACCAACTCTTATCTGTAGACATTTGTTTGCTTGACATCGATTCGAAGAACTGGATCTTATACCTAATACTTTCTGGGTAATCCCTAATGTCTTTCCGTCTTAATTGTCTCACTTTGAATGATGATTCATGTGTGTTATGTACTTTGGTATCTATTGGATCTTCGGTAATTTTACTACTTTCTAAACTAATATGTGGATCGGACTGTATAATTTCCTTCTCCTCAAGAATAATAGAATTGGTGAAATTAAATTTCGACACTATAAAGTTGTATACCTTTCAGTTTTGTTTGCATTTCGTCGAGGGGGAGTTCACTACTCGAATTAGGTGTAACCGAAACAGTATTTGTGTTACTGAGATTACGGTTGATAAATTCAAAGCATGAATGGGCAAATACACGGTGAACATTTAAAAAGCTTCTTTTTTATTAAAGGTACTAATACTACTAAAAACCGTTACGATTCTATGAAGTGGGAACCCATACCATCCTAAATTTCAAAAATATATAAACAATTCGTTTTTGCGGATTTAAAGAAAATTTTTTCGCAGACCACAAAAATGAACAGAATTTTACATTTGCTGTGTAGATACACGCTATACTGAACTGATTCAATTATTTTATTTTACTGTTTATTTAATTTTATTTATTAATTAATTGATTTTAAACTTCTCGCTTAAACCTGCAGAATTTCGCATTAGAAAAGGTACACACGACTAAAGTTTGTGTAATTTTTATTCAAACCTGCGTAATTTACTTACGCGTTTATCTTAAAAGTGATGAAGCTGACTCTGATTTTAAATTATGAAAATGTGCACGGAACCAGAGCTGGGCAGAATACTTTCAAAAAGTATTTGAATACTAAATAGTAAATACTTTACACAAATCAAAGGTATTTAAATACTAAATACTTTTACGTCCAGCACAAGCGAATACTAGATACAGATACATTGAAAAGTATTCAAATACTTAAAAAAAATAAGTATTCAAATACTTTAGAACGTATTCGAATACTTTCAAAAGTATTCTAATACTATCAAAGGTATTCGAATACTATAAAGAGTATTCGAATACTTTGAAAAGTATTTCATTATCTTACTTTGAAAAGTATTCGAATAGAGTAAAAAGTATTCAAATACTTGTCACTCAAATACATAAAAAATTTAAAATAGTGTACTAGATAAAAGGCTTAATACTACTTAAAAAATCAAGTTATACTTTGTATGAGGTTAGCTTTTTTTTTATATTTCTATTGTTACATACAAATTTAAGGGGAGTAAAAGCGTATTATTATTATTATATTATTATATAGGAGGTACCTACCAGGACTCTTCTTATACCAGTTATATCCTTAAGAATACGTGTACCAGTTTTCAAAGCGATCGTACGTCGTGCACATGATACGTACGCCTTTCTGAAATGAATCCTAGCGATTGTGGAACAGATCCATTTTTGACCATCCGTTTGTCCGTGTGCATGATAACTTGTTTAGAAACGTGCGATCGCTTTGAAAATTGGTACACATGGTGGATATAAGAAAGGTCCCTATTGTTTTTTAGTTACGTAGACTATCGAGTTCGGTATTCAGATGTATCGGATTTTTATATTTGATTTTGTGACAATGGAAACTTTCCCTAAACATTTCTAAATTGTTCTCAAATATTTGAATAACTTAAAAGTACTGCCTTTTTTTGAGGCCGGAAAAAAAAATTGTCTGAGATCGAGATCGATCGAAAGTCCATAATTTCAAACACTTTGAAGATTGGGCTACTAGATCAAAAGTTACAGCCCTTTGAATTTTTTTTCGAAATTTGTTTTTTGCCCATAACTTTTTATTGAGAGGTCTAATCGAAAACGTATGAATTGTTTTGGATTCTACGCACCAAAATTAATAAGAAAAAGTGTTTTCCCGAGAAATTTTGGTGTAGTCGATTTTTGGTAAAAAAAAGGAAGGTTATACACTGCCTTTTTTTGAGTACCCCAAAAATATTGTCTCAGGTCGACCCGGAAAAGAATCCATAATTTCAAACAGTTCCAAGATTGGGCTACTATTTCAAAAGTTACGGCCCTTTGAATTTTCTTTCGAAATTGGTTTCTAGTCTATAACTTTTGATTGAGAAGTCTGATGGAAAAAGTACGAATTGTGTTGGATTCTACGCACCAAAATTAATAAGAAAAAGTGTTTTCCCGAGAAGTTTTGGTGCAGTCGAATTTTGGTAAAAAAGGAAGGTTATACACTGCCTTTTTTTGAGGCCCGCAAAAAAAATTGTCTCAGATCGACCCGGAAAAAAATTTACTTATAGAATGTGGCCTGTAGAATCCATAATTTCAAACAGTTTCAAATTGGGCTACTAGTTCAAAAGTTACAGCCCTTTGAATTTTCTTTCGAAATTGGTTTCTAGTCTATAACTTTTGATTGAGAGGTCTGATCGAAAAAGTACGAATTGTTTTGGATTCTACGCACCAAAATTAATAAGAAAAAGTGTTTTCCCGAGAAATTTTGGTGTAGTCGATTTTTGGTAAAAAAGGCCCGCAAAAAAAATTGTCTCAGATCGACCCGGAAAAAATTTACTAATAGAATGTGGCCTGTAGAATCCATAATTTCAAACAGTTCCAAGATTGGGCTACTAGTTCAAAAGTTACAGCCCTTTGAATTTTCTTTCGAAATTGGTTTCTAGTCTATAACTTTTGATTGAGAAGTCTGATCGAAAAAGTACGAATTGTTTTGGATTCTACGCGCCAAAATTAATAAGAAAAGGTGTTTTCCCGAGAAATTTTGGAGTAGTCGATTTTTGGTTAAAAAAAAGGAAGGTTAAGTATTCAAATACTATGCGAAGTATTCGAATACTTCTCAAAGTATTCAAATACTTTGCGAAGTATTCGAATACTAAATATTTGTGAAAGTATTTGAGTTACAAGTACAAATATGTAATAATAGTTTATTGATCAACAGAAGAAAAACTTCCAATAACAGATCAAATCCTTGAGAATTAAGATGAACATTAGAAAAAAATGTAAAATTATAGCTGCTTCCATAAAAGTATTTAATTACAAAGTATTTGAATACTTTAAAGGATTTGAATACTAAAAAGTATTTACAAAATCGAATACTGCCCAGCTCTGCACGGAACTAAACTAATTTATGCTTATTCCTTATAAGGTTTCAGCCGGACCCGATTTTAAATTTTTTGTGGAAGCCTGTACAATTTCCAGTCTTTCATATCAACATCCCACAAGACATCACTTTTTGAGAAGAACTTTTGTTACAACGCAACTAAAATTTTTAACTCGCTATCACGTTTTATTAATAAATCCTCGAAAAAAATAAACTATAAACAAAATTTAAAAGAATTATTGGTATCAAATTGTTTTTATAATATGGACGAATTCTATCAATTTGTAAAACCTTAGTTTAAAACGTATTTGGCTTATTGTAAATCTTTTGACGTTTATTTTAGTGCTTTCGCAAGAACCGCACTAAAATACTAATAAATATTATGGTCGGTGTTTCTTGTGAGAACTCAGGTCTAGCCTGGTTAACTAATCGCACGGATTAAAATCAAGTAACGATTAGTGTCTGTGTCTGTGTCTGGTGAAGTTATGTAGGGTCCTTAAAAAAAAAAAAAAAAAAAAATAAAAAAAATAAAAAATCACACACGTACATTGGACATCTAGGGATAATGTAATTCGTACTTACCAACATACCTATTGATGGGCACAATAGCCAACGCTATCAGGAAAGAGGAAAACAAAACAAACAAAAAATCATTATAATAATTCCTGTAATTTTATTAAATGGAGTTTATTGTGTAAGTGTTTCTTTGGCTTTGCGTTTGGGTTGAATACGAGTGGGTTGTGATAACGTGGTGTGCTTCTGTGAAGAAGGAGCTTTTGTGTTTTTTAATTGTATTTATGGTGTTTCTTTGTTCCTGAGGTCGTATTTGTGAGGTTGCTTGGGTTTTTGGTGGAGATATTGCAGTATTTTGTGAGCCTGTGGTGCTGTTAAGGTTTTTTGCGTTTCGGTTGTATACGAGTGGGTTGTTTCTGAGAAGAAGGAGTATTGTGTTTTTTAACTGTGCTAGGGCGTGTAACTTTATTGGATGGACCTGTCCTTTGTAGTACATGTTGCGTTACTTGTGTTTATGGTGTTTTTTTGTTCTTGAGGTTGTATTTGTGAGGTTGCTTGGGTTATTGATGGAGATATTACAGTATTTTGTGAGCTAGTAGTGCTGTATAGGTTTTTGCGTTTGGGTTGAATACGAGTGGGTTGTGATAACGTGGTGTGCTTCGGTGAAAAGGAGTTATGTTTTTTTAATTGTGCTAGGGCGTGTAGTTACATGTGTTTTTTTAATTGTGCTAAGGGCGTGGTAACTTTAAATTGGGTGGACCTCTGTCCTTTGTAAGTGCATGTTGCGTTACTTGTAATTTTATGTGTTTCTTTGTTCTTGAGGTTGTATTTGTGAAGTTGCCTTATTATTATTGTCGGTGTTTCTTGTGAGAACTCAGGTCTAGCCTGGTTAACTAATCGCACGGATTAAATCAAGTAACGATTAGTGTCTGTGTCTGTGTCTGGTGAAGTTATGCAGGGTTCTAAAGAAAAATAAAAAATAAAATAAATATTCACACACTCACATTGGAAATCTAGAGATAGTATGTAATTCATACTTACCAACAGAGCTATTAATGGCCCCAATAGTCAACGCTATCAGGAAAGAAGAAAACAAAACAAAAATATCATTATAATAATTCCTGTAATTTTATTAAATAGAGTTTATTGTGTAAGTGTTTCTTTGGCTTTGCGTTTGGGTTGAATACGAGTGGGTTGTGATAACGTGGTGTGTTTATGTGAAGAAGGAGTTTTGTGTTTTTTAACTGTGCTAGGACGTGTAACTTTATTCGGTGGACCTGTCTTTGTGGTACATGTTGCCTTACTTGTATTTATGGTGTTTCTTTGTTCTTGAGGTTGTATTTGTGTGGTTGCTTGGGTTTTTGGTGGAGATATTACAGTATGTTGTGAGCGTGTAGTTCTGTTAAGGTTTTCGCGTTTCGGTTGAATACGAGTGGGTTGTGATAACGTGGTGTGTTTATGTGAAGAAGGAGTATTGCGTTTTTTAACTGTGCTAGGACGTGTAACTTTATTGGGTGGACCTGTCTTTGTAGTGCAAGTTGCGTTACTTGTATTTATGGTGTTTATTTGTTCTAGAGGTTGTGTTTGTGTTGTTGCTTGCATTATTGGTGGAGACATTACGGTATTTTGTGAGCCTCTAGTGCTGTTAAGGTTGCTGCGTTTGCGTTGAGTACGAGTGGGTTGTGATAACGTGGTGTGTTTCTGAGAGGAAAGAGTATTGTGTTTTTTAGCTGTGCTAGGCCGTGTAACTTTATTGGGTGAGGGCGTCTTTGTAGTGCATGTTGCGGTACTTGTATTTATTGCGTTTGTTTGTTCAGGAAGTTGTGTTTGTGTGGTTGGTTGAGTTAAGGGTGGAGATATTACAGTATGTTGTGTGTCATGTTGTGAGTCTAAAGTGCTGTTTAGGCTTTTGCGTTATTATTATTGTCGGTGTATCTTGTGAGAACTCAGGTCTAGCCTGGTTAACTAATCGCACGGATTAAAATCAAGTAACGATTAGTGTCTGTGTCTGTGTCTGGTGAAGTTATGTAGGGTCCTTAAAAAAAAAAAATAAAAAAATAAAAAAAAAATAAAAATAAAAATCACACACGTACATTGGACATCTAGGGATAATGTAATTCGTACTTACCAACATACCTATTGATGGGCACAATAGCCAACGCTATCAGGAAAGAGGAAAACAAAACAAAACAAAAAATCATTATAATAATTCCTGTAATTTTATTAAATAGAGTTTATTGTGTAAGTGTTTCTTTGGCTTTGCGTTTGGGTTGAATACGAGTGGGTTGTGATAACGTGGTGTGCTTCTGTGAAGAAGGAGTTTTGTGTTTTTCAATTGTATTTATGGTGTTTCTTTGTTCCTGAGGTCGTATTTGTGAGGTTGCTTGGGTTTTTGGTGGAGATATTGCAGTATTTTGTGAGCCTGTGGTGCTGTTAAGGTTTTTGCGTTTCGGTTGTATACGAGTGGGTTGTTTCTGAGAAGAAGGAGTATTGTGTTTTTTAACTGTGCTAGGGCGTGTAACTTTATTGGATGGACCTGTCTTTGTAGTACATGTTGCGTTACTTGTATTTATGATGTTTCTTTGTTCTTGAGGTTGTATTTGTGAAGTTGCTTGGGTTTTTGGTGGAGATATTTTAGTATGTTGTGAGCCTGTAGTTCTGTTAAGGTTTTTGCGTTGCGGTTGAATACGAGTGGGTTGTGAAAATGTGGTGTGTTTCTGTGAAGAAGGAGTTTTGTGTTTTTTAAATGTGCTAGGGCGTGTAATTTTATTGGGTGGACCTGTCTTTGTAGTGCATGTTGCGTTAGTTGTATTTATGGTGTTTCTTTGTTCTTGAGGTTGTATTTGAGAGGTTGCTTGGGTTTTTGCTGGATATTATTATTATTATTATTATCACTAACTCCTGGACCAATAAATGAAGGAAGACGTTTTTCCCCTGTTAACAGTTTTAATGCAAAGCGCGCGCGTGCCCTTTCAAAACAAATTAAAAAAGATTCTAATTATGGGTCTTGTCCAGACCAAAAAATGGATAGAATTTTGCTTGTACTGTGTAGGTACACATTTTTAACAGTATGGTACTTGGCACCAGCTTCACTAATTAATGAAGGGAAATGTACCGCCCACTATGATGTATGTGTATAGGAATACACGGAACCCTTTATTCGTTATATTCTGCAGAGATCATAATTTCACGCCCCGTCATGTCACTTTGAAGGAAACTGTTATGGAAACATGTTTATAAAGTCGGCAAGAGCTTCCTAAAAACCTAGGTAAAACCGTTACTTTCATGCTTCTATATATAGGGTTACTGAAAAACAAATTAAAGAACTATCACAAATTTTGGGTGTTTATGGGTATAGCTCACAAAGCTTGATGGTTAAATTGTAAAACATGTTTTATATCATTTGTTATGATGGATTAACGAATTTTCTCGATTTTACACTATACGGAATATAATTGTAATGCGGTATTATGGAAGCTCAAAAAGTAATCGAAATCCAATTATGCTTTACCAAATTACTTCAAATTACCTAAACTACGTTTACAATATTTTTAGAAAATTACTTAAAAAATTGCACGAATTGTTGTCAATATAGGAAGTATACCGGTACTAATTTTTTAAAGTGAACTCTCCCTCGCGTGCCATAGTTGAAACTTACCCTCATCAAGAACTTGGTTCTTCTCATAATATAAATAGTATAACATCCTGAGTAACATGGTTCTTTTCCTGTTACATTTGCAGTTGGCTATCCACTGAAATTAACATAAGCTGCTATAATATAGTATATTTTCTAAGACCTCTCTGAAAAGGAGGTCATAATGTATAATTTAGAGGCATCACCCAAAATTAGAATAGATCATGTACGTTTGGAAGTGATTACAAATGTCAAAACTGTCAATAGACGTCGTTTTGGGTTTTGCCTTATTTTCATTTCAAAATTTACGGAAGTTGTAGAAAAAGTATGGTGCGTAATTCGGTTGAAATTTGCGTATTTAAGTACAGCTTCCTATAGAATTGTCGTTTCGCGGCTTCGTGCGCAATTTTCTCTCCTGTAATACGAACTATTACAACCTTATGACGTAAAATTTAGTTCGATTTGTTAACAGTAATACTTTAAAGGAAAAGCCACAAGTGTGAATGATAGTTGACCATTTGTATTACTCATCGAGAAATTCATGCTCCTTTAGTATTATTTTCTTAAGCTATAATTGGTTTAGGCCTAAACAGTTTTAATTTTACGACGCAGGTGTTTTCTTGGTAATTGGTACAACCCAACCAGTATGGGTAGTTATTATCAGGAATTGAACTGTAAAATGAAGCGCTAAATTTTTAATTGCACGTAATGCTTAATTATGTAAAACTGATGCTGGTCTATTGCTCTTGCAAAGATTCCATTTCGGATTTAATAAGATCTACTTGGAATAGATTAAGGAAGGCAAACATACAAAAATCATTCTAAACAGGACTCAAAAATGTAGGCACATCCGCATCCTCGCCACTTTTTTTTTACAACTTATAATCCGTTTTGATTGTAAGGCATCTAATTATATTAGTATCTACTATTTACCTATCATATATTGGTTTGTAAATAGAAATTACTCACTAATTTTATCACTGAAGTCAAGTGGCAGTACTGCTCCGTATTTATCATGTTTGTAACACGTAACTAACAAACTGAATGCGCCGTTTTACAAACATTTAAATGTTTGTGCACAGATATATTTAGAGCCATAATCGGCATGTGCAGCGATTACCATTACGACAAAGAAGAAAATATTGTCGTATGTTTGATTAAGGATTCATCAATGTAAAAGAAATCCATACGTCACGTTCTCGTTAAGCTTCTTTAAGACAATGGATTCGTACGATGTGCATTGCCCTTGAAACTCCCCAAAAGAATTTTGCGACAAATCCATAAAGATGGGATGTATTTATCTGTTTCGTCTGCCTTGCAGACAGTCCGGTTTTTGACTACTAAAGGTTTCTATAAACGCGGCGGTGCTTATAGAAAAACTGCTCGAGTTTGGGAAGCTTATGTGCCATCTTGTTTTTAAACCCTACTGATTCGACACTATGAAATATTTATGTTATGTGTTCTGGATCTTATCTATTCGTAAAGAGACTTTGAGACACCATTAATTTAAAATTCTGTACGTGACTGATTCGTTTCAATTTCTTTTGCGTTAATATTTATATTGTGGCGAACTTTTTTTTATTTCGCCAATTGGTCATTTACCCCTGCTGTATTATTGTTTAAAAATAGTTGCTGCTTATAATAAGCACATTAAGGACTGCTTTTTTGGAAATAGTTTCCATGTATACGAGTAGGTATTTAAACGCAATCCGCAGTAAACTTTCATTGACATGAGAAATCTTTTTTGAGATATTCACTCCATTTAAGTAGGATTTCCAATAATTAACTTTAACTTCATTGCGATTTTGCAGTAATATTGGAAGCCAAAACATTTCGAATGTACATATTTATTTGGTCTTGGTGGGAATCCATGGTGGTAAAGCTCAAAACGGGGTTACAGTTACAGTTGAATAGGAATTTAACACACTAAACCTTCCCCATACTTCTTTATTAAAAAATTGTGAATAAAATCACATAGCGACTATAGTTTCGACCTAAGTCATTTTCAAGCTTAAAATTTAAAACATCAACAACAGAAAATAGGAAATTGAAAGTACAGAAGTTACATTTTTTATCAGTATGAGGAAAAAATTTTTTATCAAATATAAAACAGTTGGTGTTAGGACATAGAAAAGTGGAACAAAATTAACATAGTCATGATACAACGACGATTAATTAATTAATTCATGCCATTAGAAAATGGACGCAGCCATCTTGTACAAATATAGTCAACGACTTCTGTACTTTCAATTTCCTATTTTCTGTTGTTGATGTTTTAAATTTTAAGGTATGTATATTTCAAGATTGTTACTCGTTATTAGTTACAATTTTCCTACAGCTTGAAAATGACTTAGGTCGAAACTATAGTCGCTATGTGATTTTATTCACAATTTTTTAATAAAGAAGTATGGGGAAGGTTTAGTGTGTTAAATTCCTATTCAACTGTATTTATTTGGTGTTTAACGTGTAGGTACTCACACTTGTAATTTTTTTAGTTATTCTTATTTTTCAAAACCAGGAGATGTTTTTATATAACAACATAGAATAAAACAAATAATGCAGGGATTTTAACGACTCAAATGTTAACTGTATGCAAGGAATGTAAATCCATTGAGATGCCAAAGACAATTTTCCGATATTCGTAACGTGTAGCTTTTTTGTGTATTGCTCAACACCAATCCAGATACAATTCAATGCAAATTGATTTAAAAAAAACACACACACCATAACGTACACGAATAGGTACAGTGATGTATACGTGTAGGTATTACTCAAAGGTGACATTCACTTTGACTCAAAACATGCACTAAGTGTTTATACACACAGAAACTATCAACTTTCACACCATAGTCGTTAAAATGTAAATAAAAAATTTGCACTGTTATTTGTTATTTAATGTTGCTATTTTTACAAAATTTCTTGTTTCTTGTTTTTGTTATCTAGTAGCGAAATTAGTTATTGGAAAATCTCCCAAAATTGAATTCACGATTGACCTGTTCTTGTGAGGGAAGAATTTTCTAGGAAAGAAAATTCCATTTGACTTTTGGTAAGTCAACAACAACCCACGGATAGCCACAAAAAACTAAAAACATTGGTTCTAATATTACATATTTTACTACTGTATGGATTTTTTATTTAGAACATTCCTCAGGTGAAGAATTCTTCTGTTACTCACGTTACAACTGATTTAGAACATGAAGAATTAAAGAGGATGGAATGAAATTCAGATTAGACGATTTTGCAACCCCTTTTTAGCACCCGCACGTTAGTAAAGGGTAGTAATAACTTCCCACTTTTTTTTTACGAAAATACACGTTTTGAAGCACCGGGTACCCGAATCAAACAAAACCTCGATGATGTCGGTCTGTCTGTCTGTACTCTCATTTCCGGTTAAAAGTCTGAACCGATTAGAACCAAATTTGGTACACATATATTCTTATACATAAAAGGAATAGCTGAAAAGCTTTTGGGCTAGGCTCAGTAAATTTTTTTCAGTTTCAAAATCGAACTATATATGTGTTTTGTAATAGGCCTTTCTGGTGGGTCGATTTTTATTTCACTGAGGGCAAGTTACCTGCGTACCAATTTCTTGAGATGTTGTATACCGAGGACAACCTTTTACATTCAAATTTACGAATGTTCGTTCTGAACTAGTAACACGGTGGAAAATTTTCGCCGAAAGCTCCTCTCCGAAATATTCGTATGAAGGGAGTTTTCCCGAATTATTATCCCGGAAGAAAACAGCCCTAAGTAAATTATGCCGAGAAACTTAACTCCAACGAATTGATCCATTACATTGATCTTGTAAAAGTGCAATTATTACCTATTGCTTTTCTATAATAACAAAAAAAATAGGTATAATCTGTCAAGTGCATTATGTATTCAAAATGTTATCAGATTCTCGAGGATATAAGGCAATACTAAATTGTATAATTTGATGTTACCCTGCGAAAATTTATGGGAATCTGAATGTTTGGCATTTAGACTAAAGTACGCACATCATCCGAAAAATCCACAATGGTTTCATCTCTGACTTACCCCTTTAAAGGCAGAGTTATGAAGTGGATGACCTTTTAACACAAGATAACAGACATTTTAAAATGTGATATTAAAGGTCGTTTATTTCCAGAGCTCCGCTTGAAATTTGTATGTAGATTCTCAAGCATGTGCGAAAATGTAACCCCATTACGCAACAGACCTACCCCTAAACATGCTATAAACTGAAATGTCTTTATTATAATAACACACCTCTCGGTTTGCTTTCGATAGACAATTTCCTTCACATAATAATAAAATAATTGGGATAATGAAGGAGCCCATCATAAATAATTAATAGACTCATGCATTATAGATTATGAACCATATGATAAAACAGGTTACATTAAAATACGAAACCCGTTTCGCTTATCCGACTAAAATAATCTAACTTTAATTGATAGGTTGACGGGATCGACAGAGAATCTTTTAAATTGTAAATTTATAAAAATTACTGAAATGTGAATATTTGTTTCAGGTGATAAACCGCACGCCTGTGATCTCTGCAATAAAAAATTCGCCCTCGCGTGTAATCTAAGAGCGCATATGAAGACGCACGAAGGTAAGTAAAGAAAAATCCCCATTAAAGATCGGTTTATGGTTAAATAATAAAATAAAAGCCGTTCGTTCCCTGATATTATACGTATGTATAGAGCGCAATCAAATAAATCTTAGGAAACGGCTACAACAGGTTTTAAAGGTATTAAACATTTTAGTACACTAACGCATAATGCAGCTTCCTGTAACATTATTAAACAACTGTATACATCCGCTCAACTTTATTGTGCGCAGTATGGCACATTAGATTCTAAATTCCCAAGCAACCAAAACAATAATTATCTTTAATATCACGACAGTACCACACAATAAATTAAATGACACCGAAAGTACTATAATTCCTGTTTGTTCTCTACAATTACCGCAAGTAGACATATTGTTAAGGCGAAATAATTTCAGTTTAGTCTAGCCCAAGAACATTAGCCCAGTCTATAATTCAAGCCCCCGGGATTTCTCTTCGAATTCGGCCAATTTATATTGCATTAGCACAACCATTTGAAATTATAATAGGTGAAATAACCGTACCTACCTTTCGGTTCCCAAAATTACGTCGCAACATAATATAATATATAAAATAATTATCTAATTTTGAAAATATGTCGAATCCTTTTTTTCGAGAAAAGAGTAGTTATCTATGAGATCTATATGGGGGAATTCTATTATTAGTCACTAAATTATGAGAGGTGGGTACTTCTGGTTGTTGTAATTGGTGGTTAGTATGAGGAAACGAGGTGTGCACCTTTGAGGAGTTTACCGCAAGAAATTTAGCAACTGTATTATTTAGACCTAATCGTCTTGATTAAAAACATTGGGTGCGACGAACGACATTGCGAAACAACGTTGAAAACTACATGTCACTCCCATTCGCCCATCTATGTTGCTTTATTAATTTTATTAGGAATTTAATTTGACAAAAAGGGAAAGTTGTTTCTGGTAAAGTTCTCCACCTTTTTTGCAAACAGTCTGCTAGAAGTTTACCAGAAATGATCATTCAAGTATCGTTAAGGGATGGCTTGTGAATAGTTCTTGGAGGTTTCCTGAGCAGTGCGGATTACCCATAAGGTCATAAGGCATAATAGGATTTATTCCATGGGTCTAAAGGAAAGGGTGCTCATGTCTACATGTATTAATGTGTAATATTATTAACATTATTTTTGTGTCTACGGGAATCGCGATACTATTTTAAAGAAACTGAATAAAGGAAGCTATTAATCCAGTTGTAAATTTGCATCAGTTTTTAAAATAACTTTCGGGTTTCATACCGCTTAAAGGCAGTCTTCTGTAACTTCTTGTTTACAAGTAACCAACAAACGAAAATCTGAAACTTTACGAATTCTTATTTTACCACAACTGCATGCGAGCTCGTGAATTACTGAATACAGGGTGTAACAATTACCTAAGTATGTGAAAGAAATCTAGATGGTAGAGACTAAATCATTTTTAGCGCATTTTATTTTAGAATTTAAAAAATGTGCATTGGTTGCGTTTTATCCGTCCGGACCCACTTCTGCGGTTTCGAACTACTTTTAGGGGAATGGTCCTAGAGTTCTGAATGTTTTTACAATATGAATCCGAGATCAGTAGGTGGCCGGGGGAGGAAGGAAGGGGGCAGAAATTAATTTTATCTTTCATGGTATTCCAATTAAAGATCTCAACAAAAGGAACTGTTTTCTACCAACTACCGCCCTACTTTCTGACTCCTTATCAAAAGAGAGGATGGAAGGGGGGACAGGTTTTTGTTGTTCATGGAACTCTAATGAAAGGTCTCAACGGAAGGAAGTAATTTCTACCATACCATAACATAACATAAAAAAAATTCAAAGGGCTGTAACTTTTCAACTAGTAGTCCAATCTTGGAACTGTTTGAAATTATGGATTCTACAGGCCACATTCTATAAGAAAATTTTTTTTCCGGGTCGATCTGAGACACTTTTTTTTCGGGGCTCAAAAAAAGGCATTGTATAACCTTCCTTTTTTACCAAAAATCGACTACACCAAAATTTCTCGGGAAAACACTTTTTCTTATTAATTTTGGTGCGTAGAATCCAAAACAATTCGCACTTTTTCGATCAGACTTCTCAATCAAAAGTTATAGACTAGAAACCAATTTCGAAAGAAAATTCAAAGGGCTGTAACTTTTGAACTAGTAGCCCAATCTTGGAACTGTTTGAGATTATGGATTCTACAGGCCACATTCTATACGAAAATTTTTTTTCCGGGTCAATGTGAGACAATTTTTTTTCGGGGCTCAAAAAAGACAGTGTATAAGTGGATGGGTACGCACAAAGGGCAATTGGGACGTCTGGAGGAAATATATCTATTGTTGACGTCAAAACTGTACGAGCGAATATCTCGAAAACGCTTTGTCGGAGGAAAGTACCCACAAAGGCGAAATGAATTGTCTGGACGAGACATATCTATTGCTGAACTGAGTCGCCCCATTAATGATCTAACAAGAAAGAACATCGATAAGCAAGGCCTACACAACGCAACCATTTACTAAGCTACTTCGGTTTTAAAAAATGCGCTTTTCCTGCACAAGAGTTGTGCACAATTTATACTATACTATTTGAATTTGACTTTAGATAAATATCGGGGTGGGGGTGCGAAAAAAATTACAATCTCAACGAAATTCATTTGGATGTCTTTGAATGAGACTAACGAGTCCAACCGTAGTTTCAAAATTTTGAAAAAAAATTACAACTGCACTTGTATCCACAACAAAAAAAATCCTCAAAATTACTTCGACAGCTAATTTGTGCATGACATGTTCAATATGTCATGCACAAATTAGCTCACTATAATATTCAATGAACTCGTACAGTAAAAATGACCCTATAATTTTTTTAAATAAATAGGTCGCCATGGACAAAAGTTTGAGATCCACTGCTCTACGGCAATGTGTATGACAATTAATTTTTGTATTTGACCCACGGCTAGCTTAGTAATACGTTACTTTTCGGAAATTTGGTCTTTTTTATCTCATCTGAAAGCCTGAAATTCAAAATCTAATGCTCTTGTTTGAGTGAACTCGAATAAATACTAATGTGAACTTAATTGATTTTTTGAAACGACAAAACGACCACTGTTATATTAACTGATGTCTTGAACGTGAATTTTCTTTGAGGCGAATTCTTGGTAAACAAGGACGTGTATTTTAGGGGTCAATTTTGCAAACGAAAATATCTAGTGTCAAATTTTTCTTTGGAATCGAGCATTTTTGAATGAGAATTTTCCATGGAGCAAATTCTTAATAAACAAATGTTCCAGCTGGCTCAAATTTTCCTTTAGGTTGGAAACTGCGGGGTTGATTTTACCTTATGACGATCTAATGTACGGCTACCCCGCCCCTGTATCTAGGTCTGTATTTCGCGAATGTAATCCGGAAAGTAGATCGATTGCAAAGGATTTCTGAGGATGTCCGAGTATCTGAAAAGATCTCACCTATAGTTTGCAGTTTTTGAAACTCATACAGCGACTAACAAAAATTGTAAACAGCGGTGTAATTACTAATGGAGAGAGGGGCACAGAGATGCGCTTGTCCCTGTTCCTTTGGCTATTTCGCACTGAAACTGAAATATAGATTTCATAGATCCAGATAAATTCCAAACTGCACCATGTGCGTGTGAAAATTAGAGCTTCCCGGCCTGATAATAATGCACCATGCACAATTTGAGGGATATATTTTGCCTCTTACTCAATACATAATAGGTAATTTTCAATAGGGTTTTCACCTTAAACTGTATCAGAGCTGCATATTCGAATAAAACTTGCATTTTACGACAAAGAGTGACTTCGAACCCTAAAAAACGTCTTTGACGACTAATAAGCCTCTATCTCCTTTCAGGCGATCCACAAGAAGAATGCAACATATGCGGAAAAATGTACTTAAGCGGGGGCGCGCCGGGTTCGTGTTCTTCCTGTAAAATTCAATCGAAGAACAGTCATCCAGATTCTGCCGAAGATTCCTGTGGATCACATACAGAAGATAGTAACGGAACGCCGGAATAAACTGAAAATGTGTATACCTACGTTTTATTGTTATATTGTTAAGAGAGTTGTAATGATTGTTAAGATAATGTCTTCTATGGACATAACGCTGATTGTTGATAGTACAATGTAATTTACCCGGTGTAGAGGCTCAAAAGACGTTTAGCTTTAGCTTTAACTTGTAACTGTAAATGTACAAAGATTGAAATGTATTAGGTACTAACTTCTATTTTTTAGGGTGCCAATGTTTGTCAAAAATGTATGCACATACATAGAAAATTAGGGATTAGAGCACAATTGCTTGTAAGTTGAAATTGTATTTATACACCTATTTATTTCCATAGATTAACTTAATCTTGTGCTAATTTGTATGCATGTTAGTGAAAGTATCTACATGCTCGGTTACTATTAATAGTCATTGTGGTCATATGTGACAAATGTTGTAACGGGTCATAAGTGAAATACATGAGCTAATCCGAAAACGAAGTCAAAAGTAGATTGACATATCGGACGGACATCGTCTTCCAATTAAAAGCGGTGAGCATCGGTATACATGTTTTTTAATTCCATATCGAGTAGGTGGACTATTTTCGACACAATTTATGATGAGCGGTTTGTAGGAGGCTTTTTATTTAAACGATAGATTAAAGCTTTAACTCGGGCGCTTTACATTGCCAAGGTACGAGATTACCTTTATAAATGTAAAAGTGTCTTTTTTAAATACTAATCTGATGGATTTGCCGGTCTAGTACGGCACTAAAGTAGTTTAATGGCATTCGAGTTGACATCGGACGACAAGATTTTCTTTCTTAATGATAGATCAGTCTCTAAAGCTTAGTATATCGTTTTTAAACAATTTAATTACGTTTTCTTTTGTAGTAAACCACTCGCTCTGTATTGAACATTATTCGTCTTTGTAACTTTGTACTATTTCATACATGTAAATAGTAATAGTAAGAACTATTTATTGTTGCTAAAATGAAATATTCGAGTAATAATCATTTTATCGTTATTGTTAGGATAAAACTTGTGTCTTAAAATCAAACTTTCATGTATATAAGTGATGTTAATTATTAATTTTCTATATTGTTTAAATTTATTAGGGGTTTAGCATTTATCTAGTCAATTTGATATTTTTTATATTACGCTACTGTAACTCTTATACAAATAAATAACAGTTGCTTTTTTTTAATAATGAAATCTTACTATAAAGGACTATAACACCCTTTTGCCATTTTACCTATTTTTCAAAACCTAAATTTTTTTATCAATGTGGAAACCTTTTGGATGTATTTCACTTTTTTTGTCAAGATTTGTCCTTCTTCTTGTGGTAGATACCAAATACCAATATACCTATGCAAAACTTTGAAACGGCATTTGAAGCTCATTATTGTTTAACATTCAACTTTCTGCGAATCTGGGGCAGTAACTGCGCTAAAAAGTTTTGCAGATAACATTAAAATTTTTCAATTTCCCTAAGATAGGTTGTAAATACATATGGTACACGTCCATTAATAAGATATCACATATTGACAAGATAGAACCATTAAAAAGATTTAAGGTGCGGTATTTTCTGACAGCCGAAAATTGATCCACATATTCTTATGCTAATCAGATAGCAATAATGATCTTAGGATTTGAAGTAGGTACTTTGTTTTACGACTGTTTAGATGTTTATCTATTTTTGAATGGTTGGTAATAAGCAATGCTTCTTTACTTTAGCTCGGTTTGATTAATGATCCTGATTTCTTCTTTGATTAATTATCAAATCGCTCATTAAAAATATTAATTTGTAAATTAATGATATATTTAGGTAGGTATATGGTTTATATGGGTACCAGTCTTGGAACCTTGGAATTTCTACTTTAGTGTATTTTTAACGCATTTTTTTATTGCGTCCCTTACCACGATGCATCTAAAACTACCGCTGTCTGGAAATACCAACATTTACCACTATAGTCTGTCTAAAATTGACGCGAAGTAATAAATTATAAATTGGTGAAATAGAAATAGTATTTTTGTATGGAAGTGCTTCTCTGTCTCTGTCTGTCAACTATATTTATTACTTCGCGTCAATTTTAGACAGACTATAGACATGAAATGGCAACCTATATTCCTTGTATATACCTACTGTGTACAAGATAAGGATGCCTATCATGGGGATTTCAGAAACCGACGATGGTCAAATTAGAGAAAAAAAGCGCAATTAAAGAAAAACAGAAATTTGCCCATTGGTTTTTGTTTTTTTCTTGTGTTATTTGGAAAGATATATGCCGCTTTTTGAGTTCTACAAGAGAGCGGTAAGAGATTTTCAATACACTGTTTTGTTATGGAGCAATCATGATCAATTTAATTTTTGTATATGGCTCGTAAAAAAATTGCGTACTGTATTTTTCATTACGAATACAACGATGTACGGCACAAAACAATACCAAAGTTGAAAACTGTTGGTTTAAACAGGATGGTGCAACCGCGCACAACGCCCTAATCGTGCGAGGGTACGGAAAAATTTTTATTTTCCAGGAAATTTGTCCGGTAGGTATGCTCGTTGCTTAGGACATTTTCTACACGATGGCGATATCACATTTTCCTTCAAAATGGCGACTTTAAACTGTTACGTACTACTTATTATTACGAGCAGTATAGTTGTAGAGCGATTTTTCGATGCAATTAATTTCGAGCTTTTATAGGAAGCTCGCCTCCACAACAAGTTCGCACTTCTCGATCCTACATTTAAAGTTTTAACATTGACGAACATGTGGATTACATATTTGCTTTTAATAAAATGTCAAAATTTAGTAATAATGTCACAGTTAGGTACATAATACCATAGTATAATACAATTATTATATATATTATTATATTATATATTATGATAATACTAAGCTCCCGGTGAACACTCCGTTTTCGCTTTTTTTTGGTGGTAGGTATCCCTTATCACCCAGTACATCGGTTCTTGTCTTATTAGAGGATCACCAATAATAATTTTTTTCAAAAATATCGATATCTCTTATATATTTTCGAAACTGTCGCCTCTGACACGTGCACTTCGCTTACAATAACTGGAGCTTTAATTCTGTACTTTTCAATTCTTTGTCTCAAGAGGTCTACGAAATTTTAGATCATCTTGTATGGATCCTTAACACCGACGAAATTTATTCAACCAGAATTCTGGTCCATTAATGGACACTTAATAAATATGATGGACCATTCTCACCATAAACTGCATTCAACCCGTTACTAAAATTTAATAAATCTTGCAATTTGGGCGTCACCATTGGATAACGATTCACTCAACGGCGTCACTTCCGCCGCGCACCGTTAAATGCTGAAGCTGTTTGGAAATTAATGCGTTTCGTCATTGTTTTCATGACTAAGTCGATTAGGTACATAACACCAACATTTTAAAAAGGTATCCTGAAAATTGATTTAAAAAACATAATCCTTAAATATTATGCTCTAATTTTGTATAGCGCGTAACTTTATCCCTAATCATGTCGTATTTTTAAATTTCAGTATTTTTTCTGGTGTAGGATAATGTCCAATTCTACAGTTACAATTATGCTTGCTTTTTTGAGTAGCTTTCAGTGAATCTGTTTTTGAAACTGTTTTGTTTGAGGGTTTGATGATAATGTACCTACATAATGTAGGCAACACACAATACAATTTAAAAAACGGCAAACTTGTAACACATTACCTACGGCCCCAAAAATGCACTTGAATAGAATTCAAACGCAGCGGTATATTGTTTTTAACAGTCAAATTTATGTTCTAAAAAATTGGGTAGAAAGAATACAATATTAAATGTTAAAAAATGCTCCCACATAAAATGAAATTCTTTCTATATTCATTTAGGATTTATTTGGACAAACACTTTACAATTTCTGCTTAGTGAGTAGAATTATGAAGAAATCGTATTACATGAATGCATCTAAAAAGTACTAACGCATATGCATTTTCGTAAACGCAGTGTGAACTATTAGTTCACATTTATTCACCTTCGTCTTAAATTTTGCAAATATTGTGATGCAGTATTTTGCATGGATCATTTAACCGTAAAAAACCGTATAAACCGTAAAAATGTAAGTACCCAAAATAAGCATTGTATAACTTTTTTAACTGTGACTAGGAAAGAAATTTAAAACGGAATCAAACAAATTTTAAAAAATACTGTGGCTAGCCCACATACCACCCGCACGATGCAATAGTTTAGCCATAATATGGAAAAACGTCAAAAATTGGCAGTTTTGGAACTTTGACACACTTGAGCATTCGCAATTCTGCTAAGCTCTTCCTTTTATGTCTATAAATATGTGTACCAAATTTGGTTCCAATCGGTTTTGTGCAGACAAATAGACCGACATCATAGAGACTCGCCACCGCTGTCTGTGTACATTTCTTAAAGTTTTACGACGAATGGGCAACTAGCCCTATTCACCAACCCTCCTCCTTTATCCGGGCTTGGGACCGGCAGAGATAACCAATGAGTTATATACTACTCAATTCACCTATCAGCTATCCCAGGCGGAGTTAGACTTACAATCCTTAGATAAGAAACCTAAACCTACAACCAAGAATGAACGAAGCAGGGTACACCAAGTGAGTACCTTCACTCCAACAACCTAGTTCATCCTTATATGCAGGAAAGAATCTTTGCAGATCAATGCTCCTCTTTTAAAAGGTCTAGGTAGGTATGTCAAGAGTATCGTCCCTGGTGTAATTGCCATGTCTCAATTCGAGAACCTAGGCCGACATTGCTGCAAAACCTGAAGTTATACCTAGGTGATATTTCACAATCTAGAGTCTGATGATGGTTTTACCTGTCATTATTAGTTTTCCGTTTGTTAACTTTAGTGGTGGGGCAATTCAAAACTGATAGTCTTTCATTGCCTTGAATGATTTGAAATGCAACTTGGGTGGATTCCTAAAGGGAATTTGCATTCCTCGTATATTTTGATTTTTTCGTTTCGTTTAACTCACCCAAGAGCGTAACATGCCTATGACGAACTCACCCAATTCATTCTTGTTGTTGCAAAAGCACTACCTACTATAATAGTGTCTTATAAACGACCCCATAAAATTATTGATAATGGGCAATATACCTCGTAATGAAACATTTAACAAGTGGGAAAATGTTTTTAAAATGTAATAAAACGAGGTTATGTTCCGTAATCAAATTTGAACTTCTGACACGTAACTTTGATAAACAGATCAAAGTCTTAACAATTCTGACCCTAATATCGATAACGTCAGTTTACGGATACACTTTTTTACGTTTAGAGTTACTTTTGTAACGGTAGAAAATGATTTTGTCAAAACCACTGTACGATTTCTTAGGATTCTACTTCGAACAGCTATACTATCACCCAGTGAAGACAAAGGCAATCAGTTGGTGAGTACCAAATTGTCGACAAAATAGTGGAAATTTCCATCATTTTCAGTTGTATTGTTGCGGCCGCAGGGAACCTTGCCTCGCAATATATTAGTGGAAGCAAATCCTTAGCGCAAGACAGCCTGCTTGCGTATGGTATATATGGACTGCTTTTTGGTGGAACTATCCCTCACTACTTTTATGGCTTTCTGGAGAGGGCAATACCAGAACAGGTACCGATGGCCGTCTTGAAAAAGCTCTTAGTTGAACGATTAATATTTTCCCCTATCTACCATGCATTTACTTTGTATATGATCGCAAGGTTAGAGGGTAAGACACATGCACAAGCAACGCAACAAGTGGAACACCTCTACTGGCCGGTTTTATCATCCAGTTGGAAGTATCTGTCTATAATACAATTTTTAAACTTCCAATTTGTGCCACCATTGGTATGTAATAAATCATTATTACTTCAAATTAAAGCCTCTTTTGCAGCTTCGAGTGTTAATTGTTAACCTTATTGGATTCTTTTGGACCATTTATATTGCTAATAAACGGCGGCAGGCTGAGATGAAGAGTGGCTCTTAAAACTAAGATGAAATCATATGGTTTATGGGTGGTATCTTGTTAATGTTACAGTTTTATATTTATACATAATTATTATCAAATAAATTTATTGTTCGTGAAAATAATTCTGGGAGGACTTTGTTTTTGAAGTGATTGTCGATAGTTTCTTTTTGTTTGTATTTGATGATGTTTCCTTTCTGCCCAAAATTGGACTGGAACCGGTTCCCATATTTCGTATGAGATTCTTTAAGCTTTTCGCTTGGTTGTCAGTGGTTGTACTTTCCTGGGCAATAATGTAAAAATCGTCTAGAAGGTGTAGGGGTGGTTCTACATGGCAGGGAGTGACTGTAGTTTCAGGTCCTTTATCGATCAATTGTGCTAAACGGTTCTTTAAGGATTCATTTTTTTCTTCTAATTTGCGGATTTTGTTGGCGTCCTCTTCGAAATGCATTAAAGCAGGTGTTGGCATGTACTAGAAAAACAACAAATCAGCTTTACAAAGTTACCACCACACACATGGATTACCTGAAAAATGGTGGCTAAAAAATTGTGTAGAGACACCAATAAAGTATCCTGCCACTGTCTTGTAAAATGCAGAGAAAATGTAGGATTTTCCTCAGGATTTTTTATGTAGGGCAACACTAAAATAGAATTAATAGACATTATAAATTTAAATTAAAACAAAATAGATATTGCATGACATAGTAGTAGGTAACCCTTGTAATATACACCCTGGATATATTTGGATCAGTCTATGCCTAAATCAATGGACTATCAAAGACCCAAATATACCCACAGTCTGGATATCATCTCTACATATCGTTCCATTAACACAGAAATTACATCTGTGCTATTAGGTAGGTACATGAGATTTGAGATATTCTAAAGTCTTATCAAGCAAACCCTTGATCATCATATTTCTTGTTAAAGAAAATGAAAATCAAAAAACAATATTTCCCTAAATGAAACAAAGGTGATAGATGATTGCAAACTGTAAAGGCAAAGCAATTTCTGTACGATATTTGAGAGAGGTTAATTATACGTACTAAACCAGTCTTTCCATTCACTTTGGTTATGAATTTCTGGAGTCATTTTCATGAAAAATTCTGCCATTTTTTCCGACTTATTATTAACAATCACATTGATCAAATACAACTTTAGAATCGCATTTTCCAGTTTCTTTGTTGCTAAAAGTTCAAGTTTTAGCAGTGGGTTTACGTCCAAATTACAGCTCACCCGGAACGAAATGACTCTCAAGTTTGGTGAACATATGAGTTTCTAGATGACCCCATAATTCCCTCAATGAGATTAAATCGTAATTATTAACAAATTGAACTAGTTGCTCCACAATTTTATCAACACGAAAACTCTTCTCTTTGTCCGATTTTAAGTCTATATCGAGTGCTTTGACTGTTGTACCAAAGCCACGGTGCACTAAGTATTCTCTTATTAATTCGTCTAAGTACTGTACATGGGCCATTTATTGTAAAGGAATGTTTTTCCACAACAAACCGCAAAAAAGGTACTAATCAAATCAGCTGACTAAAAACAGCTGTTAGCTATGACAGTTGTGACAGTTTCGCCACCTAAACATGCATTAAAGATCTACAAAATAGGGATATTTCCTTTAGGCTGCATTTGTGTTGGCTATTCTAAATCTGTAAAAATGGCGGCTTTAAAAACTGAAATTGAAGCCGATGAAAATGAAAAAGAGGAGGTCGGTGAAGACGCATTAGACGATGTCAACGACAACACAAGTGGCAAAAAGAAACGGAGGAAGAAGAAAAAGAAAAAAGGTAAAGTAAACCAACAAACGGGAATTGTAAATGCACGTGGCTTTTGCAGAAGGGGAAAATGAGGTTCCCTCACTAAACGAGGAGAATACAGGTGACACGAACGAGGGAGCCGCCGATGAGAAAGCAAATTCCGCGGAAAATGAAGCGGACAAAAAGAAGAAGAAGAAAAGTAAGAAAGGAAAGGGGGGAAAGTCTGCACAAACAGATCCTCCTTCAATTCCGATTGCGGATTTATTCCCCAATCAAGTATTTCCTGAGGGAGAGATAATGCAGTATGCTCCGAGTAAAGACGATCGTACCGCAAAGGATCGTTTTACATCTGAAGAGAAACGAGCTTTGGATCGCATGCAAAATGATACTTACAATGAAGTTAGATTAGCTGCTGAAGCTCACAGACAGGTAGATATTCAAATTAAATGTTTTACTTTCATGTGCTCTTGTTAAATGTAGACCCTTTCACAACTAAGTCCTAATCCTAAAGCGTTTCAAACATTTTTGGGAGCAGTTTGGACCTGTAGCGAACCTATCAAACCTTTCAGAGTGACATTAAGTAAAAGTAAAGATTGACTTTCCAAAAAATATGAAAAGGGCTCACTTTTCTCGAAAAAAAGGTCTTTACACAAAAATGTACAGATCCTTCTCAATGATTCTAGCTCTCTTTTGTAAATTTTGATGTTAATCCAAGAATTTTTTCGGCAGACACGTCAACACATGCAACGCTGGATTAAGCCGGGAATGACGATGATAGAAATTTGTGAAGAGCTGGAAAATACAGCCAGAAAGCTAATTAAAGAGAACGGCCTGCAGGCAGGTCTCGCGTTTCCCACAGGCTGCTCGCGAAACCACTGTGCAGCGCACTACACTCCAAACGCCGGTGATCCCACTGTTTTAGAATATGACGACGTGACAAAGATAGACTTTGGAACGCACATTAATGGACGAATAATAGATTGTGCATTCACTCTCACTTTTAATCCGAAATACGACAAACTTGTAGAGGCCGTTCGCGACGCTACAAATACGGGAATTCGAACTGCAGGAATTGATGTGCAGTTGTGCGAAATTGGGGCGGCAATTCAAGAAGTTATGGAGTCGTATGAAGTGGAATTAAATGGAAAAACTTATCCGGTCAAGTCCATTCGTAATTTAAATGGGCACTCCATTTCTCCATATCGTAAGTATCATGTTCCATTTGCTCAGTGTTGAAAAAAGCACATTGCATAACAACAGGGTGTTCCAATGGGATATCATACAACTCATTTAAAGTTTTTAAGGGCATTCACCCTAAGTTCAAGTACTTTTTTCTCAATTTTGCAAAAAAAGAATAGTAAATGGTGTAAATGTTCAGTGTAAGGAATATTAAACCTAGGCATGACCAGTAAATTTAAATTCTCTCATTCCAGGAATTCACTCTGGCAAAACTGTGCCAATTGTAAAAGGCGGAGAGGCAACTGTAATGGAAGAAAATGAGTTTTATGCAATTGAAACTTTTGGTTCAACCGGAAGAGGAGTGGTTCACGATGATATGGATTGTTCTCACTACATGAAAAATTACGACATGCCTTCTTATGTGCCATTGCGGTAAGTTGGATTGGAAATTGATTTGCGGCCTAACAAGGATTGTTTTAGATTAAACTCTTCCAAAGGTCTGCTTAACATTATTAACAAGAACTTTGGCACACTGGCATTTTGTAAAAGATGGCTGGACCGTGCTGGTGCAACGAAGTATCAGATGGCGTTAAAAGATTTATGTGACAAAGGGATAGTGGATGCGTATCCTCCTCTCTGTGACATAAAAGGATGTTATACTGCCCAATTTGAACATACAATTATTCTGCGACCTACCTGCAAGGAAGTTGTATCACGTGGAGATGATTATTAATTTGAATGTATTGTACTGATTATTTTGCTAAATAACGCTTAAATTTTGGATGTAAATTAATTTTTGTACATAAACTCATGCAAAAATGTTATTGATCCATTAATTTGTTTAGTCTTGATTTTCTATTGTACAATCCAATAAAATTTGAAAGTATAATTAATTTTGTCTATAATCATGGATAAAACAAGTAGATATGAGGTGTACATATACCTGGATAGTGTTTGGTAAACTTGATCATGGCGTTTCAATGCTGGCTAAACAAGTATTTTTAATTCCTAACAAAACTAGTTGTCAGGTAAACTCCTGACTTGACTTTCCGACTACTTTTAATAGTCATTGCAATTATTATCTTTGGTGATAGTGTAACATTTAGAAAATGCTCTCTAGCGCCTTTATTTTGAACCCGACGCAAAAAGTGTAGAAGTTTTTTTGTAGATCTCCTCAATACCCTTCTTTTTTGTAATTAACACTTTTCACTTTGATGCTTACTTTTAGAGGAAAATGCAAATTAAAATAAATAGTTTAACTTTTCAATTCAAAACCAAAAGAATACAAAAAAACTGTAATGAATTTTTTATAGTTTTAAGCCATTTTGGCCAGTGTAAGTTAAAAGAAGAAAAAAAAATTTTTCAAGCCGCTATGGATCTTTTAAACTTTTGACACCCTCGACAACCATGAAGATGGTTACGGATCAAAACCAAAATAGGACGTTTTCGATTCCCCATACCACCCTATATGCACCCTAAATTTCGTCCAAATCTGTTAAGGGGTTTTCAGTTATCGTGGTCACAAAAAACGAACCACATACACACACAGACGTCAAGCTAAAAATCACTTTTTTGGAGTCTGTGTGCTTAAAAACGTCCAGAAAACGCAATATTGGCATATCGAAAATTTATCACGATTACAATACTTTCCTTTATAAATACTTTGTATGTAGTCGGAAAGTAAAAAGGAGATATGATTACATACAAATTGTAACAAGCAAGCCAAAACGTGTTGTCATGGAAGAAGATGGAATAATCGCAAATAGGCTTCAATCACGCCGTTCTATGCAAAAATTCGTACATGATTATAATTTCATTTGTTAACTAACATATAAAGGAACGTTTGAAAACAAACCACTGCTACTTAGTGTAAAATTCCTGTAATTTATTTTTTAGACGACTTGATTCGATAATGACACATATCAAATATTGTAGCCTACCTTAGAAAGTTAACAATTGAACATACTGATGTGGATATGAAATTTATCATGCACTGTGCGTGATAAGAGTAGGGAGGTTGTTTTCATAAGTCAGCTAGAAATTCAGTTTGATGGAAGCTTTACTGGATTGTCAAATAATAATCAATTACATATAAATTGATTTCGGTTCATTATGCAAATTGAGGGACACAATTCGCCAAAATACGCCAGCAAAACGTTTTCCGAAAATGACGATTTCACTTGGGATAACTTGCGCCATTCCATAAATTTGGTGTATGCATCTTCGTAACGCAGTCGCGATTTCGTTTGGAGCAACACCAAAGTATTCTTGCTGGCCGCTTCAACTACTGATGGTGGTGTGAGTTGTAAAACATCGTCTTCTTTATCGCTCTCCATTTTACGCACCACTTAAAATTCGTTTTAGTAATAATCGCTGCACTGTATGACAGAACTAGCAAAACAAAACAATTAACAATCCATAGCAACCCACGGTCGTCCCCAACCAACACAGTAAAATTTAAAAAAAATGGCGTAACATATTCTTGAAATATTAGGGATACTAGTGAAAGCTTTTATTGTTCAAGTCGTCTAAAAAATAGTGTTCACGACTCGTGTTGAAAGTGACTATCATGCTCATGCTTATTAGCCAAACTCGGCTTCGCCTCGTTTGTCTAACGGCACTCGCATGATATCAGTCACATTCGACACTCATTATGAAATATACTATATCGTTGTTAATATTTGAGAACTTAAAAAGTGTAATAATATAAGCCTTCCTCCAACTATCAATCTACATCCAAGCCAGTCGTTGAAAAGACCAGCAGAAAACGTAAGCCTGATTGGAATATTTAGCACATGAAAACTCGCGTCCGGAATATTCGCCCTGGTAAATCGTGATATATTTGCACATAGTAATATTCGCCCCTGAAATATTCGTCCCATTTCAATTCTTCAGGAAATGAATTTCCGAGGCGGAGTTTTCCGGGGTAAGTATAGGGCAAATTTTATAATAAATAGTAGTGAATATACGCGCGCTGGCGAAATACTAAGCGCCAATACATCGGGCGGATTCGAAAGCGCGTAAATCGCGTGCACTTCGCCAGACTCTAGACGCCAATTTCGCGCGAGTGGGTTGAGTTCCTAAGAGATCTGGTGACGCCATGTTGCGTCCAGAATACGCGCGAAATTCAGAGCGAGTAGGTACTTAATTAGTTCAACTCCACATTTTCCACAGCAGGTTATTCGCATTCACGCGTTGTAGGCTCCTTCAGGACGCAAAGTATGCGCGCAATACTTCAAAATTAATTGTGTTACTGTACAACTAATCAATTAGTAAAAAATTTCCCAATGCTCGACCAAGCAGTTAGTGAGATGCTTGACTGTTATTCAAGTAACAAATGCCCAATTACGTAGATTTAAAATGATTGCTATTGGATTTGTTCTGTTGAATGTTAAAAAAGGAACTAAATAAGGTGCAATACGCTGTAATTTACAGTTATAGTGCTTAAATTTAAAATTCACCGAACTATAACGAAATTTAAATTTTAAAATACACTTGGATGGGAAATAATTATGCGCAAAACATACACTTTAGACTTTAATAAATTTTAATGAAAAAGGCTAAAATAGACAAATATAAAAGGAAATAAACTAATGACTAGAAAAAGAAACTTGTAACATTTTTATAACTGACAACATTGCAAACTACCTACAACGTTAATACTTTCTTTAAAAATCGCAATTCCACGATTTTTATCAATCAACAAATGTTAAGAACAATTGTTATGTGCTTATTAAGTACTCTATAACAAATAGTTTAAACACTGCCAAATTTTAAAAGCTTTCACTTTGAGTATTCACATATAAAATATTTGATTATTTACACTATGTATAAAAATATAAAATAAAAGAGTATACTTTGAAAATCGTAAGTAACAAATATTACCAGTATCGATATTTCTTAATGCAGTTATTACCCAAATCTACAACGATTACATGGTTATCTGACGTAACTGCAATACCACTAGGACGTTTCAGTTTGGATTCATTGGAATCCAGAATATTATTCAATGCGCTGTCTGTCAAAGAGAGCACTTGTAAGTAGTTTCGACCCTTCTGCTCAGACCTGCTGGCAAGAATTCTATTTTCAGAGTCTAGAACTATTCCGCCGTATCTTCCTTTTCCTAAGGACGAAATTTAAGCAAAACTGTAATCAGCACCTCCACTTACCTTTCCCTTCGTCGTAAACAACCTCCAGGAAATCGCCTTTTGCCGAAAACACTTGTATACGTGAATCAGCAACGACAATTTCACTAGTAACGCCAACAGCTACTGATGAAATTAGGTTGAACAACCCCTTTTTACCTACCTAAAAATAAAAATGAGATAGATTGATTTTTAAAATCACCAACGTTTGTTGAATTTAAATATGTATTGCCTTACTTGAAATAGCATTTTCCCTTCTGCATCAAAAACGAAGACGCACCTCATCCCATTATCCGCCACAAGAATATGCCCATAATTCTTATCAACAGCCACATCAATCGGTTCTTGAAAAGCATTATAGGTAAATGATTTTAAAGTTTGTCCTAATATTGTCATTTCGGTCACGGCTTTCGTTCGCCAATTCACCACGACCAAACCATGGTTTGAGACAGCAATCCCTGTACAACTACGTCCATTTAAGCCCTCGTTAGTAATGTGCTTGATAAATTCAAGATCGTAATTTAACACTTTAATTCTAGAATTCCCAGTGTCGAGAACGTAGACCAATTGATCCATATCGTCAATGGCAACTGACACTGGTTGCATAAATTCATCTTTTCCACTACCTCTACCTCCATACACTTGGATGGGATTGTTGTGCTCAGTGACATCAAAGTAGAGGGGGTTATCCTTGATGGGGCGCTCAAAGACCTCTATTTTAATGCCGTACCTTCCCGGTTTAGGAGGCCTGAAGTACAATTTATAAGTTCCGTCATCACAGTCAGTCACTTTTATAGAAAGAGGAACAGGTGAACCCTCCGGTTCAACTGCAAGTACTTCCGCTTGTACTGGATCACCACCAGTACGTCTGAGATCACCGTGGTAGTCGACAGTTGATAATGTAACGACGGCCTCGATTCCGGCCACAGCTTCATCATCAATATGTGCCGTACACAAGCTAGGAAATGTTGTACTTGTTCGTACTCTACCTAAATCGTTTAAGTTCCGGTCAATTGTCGAAAAACAATCGTTGTGCGTAAAATCACAGCTCAAAAAGGAATTTTCGCGCGGCTCCCCTAAGTTTGTAGCTGCGTCCAACTTTTCACTTAAGCTTTCTATCCTCTGCGTTATATTTCTTACTTCTACTTGATACTGGAGACCTTGACATTCTTGTTCCACCTGTTGTGACAATAATCAAATTACATTTTCTCATTTTTCACATGGTTTTCTTGGATAAACTTTTATTTTGATCAGCGGAGATAAACTAAAAAACAAAACTTGGATGAGCTGAAGGAGGGAGAGAGGGGTGCAAAATTCATTGCCTGTGCAGGTTTCCAACAATTCACAGAGTGTCACAAATTCGAGGGTAACCTACGAAATACGAAGTCGGTTAAATGGAAGCAAATTTGCGCATTTTGGGACTGGATCTACGGCCAGTGGCGGATTTACATATAGGCACACTAGGCACGTGCCTAGGGGCGGCAGCTTTAGAGGGCGGCATTTTTTGCACTATATTTATTTTAGGAAACATTTTAAGTTTTAAAATAAGTCCTTACAAATGACAATAATCTTTAATTAAAATTATTAAATAAATTGGAGTTGGTAGATAGTTTAAACAAACTGTAACTGTAAGAACGATAATCGTCAATGCAAGTTTTGACGTGACGTGACTTAATCTTAGGTATACTGTGTTTCTTTTCATATTAGTTTTAAACATTTCAAGTTATATCTTAAAATTTATTGCAATTTAAAGATTATTTTTGGAGGGGCACATATCTTTCGGTGTGTCTAGGCGCAAAAATTTAAATCCGCCACTGTCCAAGGCAGCTTAGAAAGTAAGGGAATCCGAATTCCGAATACTTTTGAAGATAACCAGAAAAAACAAAAGACGCCTTTTGATTTTTTGCGTGTCTTTCATGGAAGCGATTTTTGAAAACAAACTACACTTTGATGCTATTTGTTCCGCAAGGCGTCAGATCTGGGCGTCGATTCCCGAAGATGTCCTTTGTTCACATCGACTGACCTTGATGTGAACGTGAATGTCACTGCATTCTCGAACCTACCACATCGAGCGAAAAGTTGATCGAACGCAACGACTGGTCTAGACTACTCGTTGCGTGAAAGTCATGCGCAGTTCCAGCTACAGGACGGATCTTGCAGCTGTTTTGCTAAAGAGGTTATTCAGTGCCCTAACCTATAAATTCACATATTTTCTGTGAAATAAAACATGGAATTGTTCGAGGATTTTCTGGTTATTAATAACAGTATCCTTAATGCAAAAACGAAACAAAATACAAAACTGACAAATGACAGTTCAATTCTTGTCTGTGATTGGTTAGCGCATACAGTTTGTTCGCGATTCGGGAATGCAGCTAAACTTGAACTTATCCCTATCGTATACGATCATGACGTCATGGCAGCCGGTCACATCACATGCACATCACGGAGCATATCGACTAACTTCGGGAATCGATACCATGGGATTGCAGAATTGTGTGACAGGGACGAAAAAAAAATGAAACATGTACTACCAACTTAATGTTTTTTTATTGCAATTTATGCGAATGAAAAAAACTAAAAAAATATGAAAATTGCTACAGGGTGTTTTTAGAGCTCAATAATTATTCCAATGTTGCACTTCTGGTTACTCTTAAGCTGCAAACATACATTTTAAAAAATTAAAAAGCTTTCGCTTTTTATTTTAAATGTTGGTACAAATACCGTAATTTAGATTAGTGGTCAGTGGAAATAATTATTATTGTGAGTGATAAAGTGAATACTCAAAAGTAGTATTTTCCTATCACATCCGGTTTAACAGGAAGTGACCCTCAATTTCACACTCAAAAGGTTGTTTTTGATCATTTATACGAGATTGATCTAACAACTAATTCAAATTGTTTAACTTTTTTATTCAACCATAGATTAGCATTTATTGTGGTCATTTGATAAATGACGCACACAGTAGAGATATATCGTTGATTCGTTCATACCTTCTGAGTAATGTATAGAAGTTAGTTAAATACCTTATTCTTTTCGGCTTCTATAAGAGAGTGTTGTTCCTCAAGTACTTTTCGTTTCTCCGCGCAAAGTCCTTCCACTGCAGCCACCATGTCCTGTCTTCTTTTATCAAGCATCATCTGTAATTGTTGAAAAGTTGAATTAACCTTCTCCAAGCATGCTTCCTTGGAGTCGTTTAATCGCTGAAGCTCTTTGGCGACCCCTTCTTGCGCTTGGGATAACTGTTAGAGATTACAGTTTAAATAAAATTAGCGCAAAAATCAAAACGCAAACCTTTGAAATACATTCGTTAGCTTTATACAGTAATATTTCCGACATTCTCTTAATTGCTATTGAAAATGGTATAATCGTGTGTTCTGCGCATGTACTTGTCGAATCGTTGTGTGAGCCACCCGTGCAAATCGTACAAAAAACCGTATCGCACGTTTCGCAAAACAACAATTCTTGGTTAAGATGTACAGAGCATTTAGGTATAACTTCCCTTCTCTGTCTGGACATGAGATCGAGCAACTGGTTGACCAGAAAGGATGGTGGCAGTGCTTGTACGCCCCCTCTTGGTATGGTAATTAACTCTCGACAAATCGGACATCGAAATGAGCCAGTGTCGCGCGTTTGTGACGCGGCTATTCTCGTAAGGCAGTGCAGACAAACTGTGTGAGAACATTGCAGAAGCTTAGGTGTATGCTCATTACCATCATACATACCTGTAAAAAATTCCAAATAGAAATATCAGAGGGTAGGCTAGCGGGAAGGTAGTTAGCAAGCAGTTAAATAATTTCTACACAAGTTGAAATTAAAATCCAAAACCATGCAGTAGAATTTTCTAAATGATTTATTTATTACAACCAATTTAAACCATCTAATGCATACTTCCACCAATCCATAAGCCATCTGTAACAACGAAAAAGGGTGTGAGGATTACTACTCATTGAGTCTGTGAAGTATGAGACTTTTTTAACAGAAACCCTCTAGGTCAAACAATCTGCTCAGGAATTGTCTCAAAATTCAATCAGACGTAATATGCTAGTGTTTATTTATCCACCAATTTCCGCAATTTTGGTGGAAGCATGATTAATACGAATCCTCCGAAAAAAAGCAGTTCACAATAAACCTAAGTATTTGGAAATTATGCAGTAAAACAATGGGTTTCTGTTAAACGAGTCTCGCATGGTTCTGGTGCAACAAAAACGGTGTTTCTTTAAAAGGGACATTCTGGCATGGTTTAGCAGTCATTGCAAAAAATTATTACTTGCCACTTTGCGCACTTTAAGCGAAAACTTAGGAATACTTACACAAGCAAGTTCCGCAGGTCAGAAAACTTTCATTGAAATCTTCATAATTAATGCTTACTGTTTCGACCAGGGTTGAGCTCATACTTGACATTCTCTCCCCAAGTCGAGTTCTGAAAAGAAGGAATCGATAAGTGTCGCAGTGTATGTGTATACAATTATATACAATAATTTTTTTGTAAAAACAATTAGGAAACCCACTCGTACAAGTGTTCAAAATAGATCGCACATTTAGGTACCGCAGGTGTAATTGATACAACAATATTGAAAAGTTCCCATTGTACCCTACTACCTTTTTTAACTTCCTACAGCAAACAATCGCAATATCACCGGAAAAGCTTATCGTTTCCTGTAAATTTCAGCGCAAATAGAAATTAAGAAACTCACCTTTTCAATTATAGGAGTATGTATTATAATTATAATTACAAAGTTATTAGAAAATATCAAGATTGGTTCATATATCTGTTCGCATACATAAATATTTCAAAAATGTGCCCAGCTAAAATTATACCCGGCTATGACAATAATAAATAGTTTGTAAACAATTTAGACTTTTCTTTCATTTCTCAGTAACTAAGAAGCTAGGTTTTTAGATGTTATTTATGCAATTACTCGATTTAAGTCAATGGTCGTACTATTGGCTAAATTAAAAATTCATTATACAAACACAATCATAAAACACAGATTAGTTATAATGACTTATGCCCACTTGCGTAGACAAATTTAAGCTGAGCATTAAAAAAACCCCAGCTTAAAATCCTTGGCAAGAATTGTCGCGACAATTTGCGAATGCAAACGGGCATTGTAGATGGTATTGTATAGATATCACGTTTCTTATGCTTTTTTTGGCGTAACTTTTTTTTATTCTACATGTAGTGAAATTATTTGACAGACGATACCTATGACAAAAAATCAACCCAATCTGAATTTTAAAAATTCGATTTAAATTTTAAAAAAATGATTGAAAAAAGTAAGATTTTTACCAACACAGTGTAGCATTACATCGATCAACGTCCACCTCCCAGCAGGGCCGTAGCCAGGGGAGTGCCAGAGGGTGCCCAGGCGCCCTCTGGATATTAAGTGGCGCCCTCTGACCGATCACGATCAGAATCGTAAAATAAAAATTTACAATAGTGCTATTTTTGTACATTATTGTAAATTAATTATCATCACAAATATATAATATTATTGTTGTTCATAATTATTTACAATAAAATTGAATAAAAATGAGGGGTTTTTCACAGAACAGCGATATTATCGATGGAATTATAAATGCAGAAGAACTTAACATGAAAAATTCTGAATGTCTACAAAGACTTGGATCAAAATTCCAAAAAAGGAAGAAATAATGGTGGTTAAAAGCTATCTTGAAAGAAACACTGATGAAGGGGAACTATACAAACAAAGAATAGCATTCATAGATAGATAACTTTCTAGCTGCGTGTAAAACATTTGCATGTAGTACCGCAGTATGCGAATCTACATTTTCGGTACTGACAAGAATTAATCGACCACAAAGGCTCTCTATAAGCCATCAAAGGATGGCCAATTTGATATTTTTAGCATTCGAAAAGGAAAGAACTAAAAATATAGACATGAACACACTTCTAAGAGAATTTCATAATGCCAAAGAGAGAAGGTTGCAACTATTTTAATGAATATACTCCAGCTTTTTTCAATTGTTATAAATAAATTGTATTAGATAAACTATATCTTTATCTAATATTTTTATGTATGCTTAAATATTGATTCGATTGACTTATATTTATGTTACGTTTATTTTATGTTACATCTTTTGTTTTTTTTAATATATAATATATATTGGATAAAATTAGTGTTTTTATATATTTTTTGATTTTTTGACAAACAAGTCTCTCGAGACTTCATTTTTGTAAACAATAAGTGCACCCTCCAACATTTCGTTTGCACCCTTACAATTTTAGTTCTAGCTACGGCCCTGCCCCCCAGAGAAATCGTGTGCAACAAATTAAACATTTGCGGTATTAACGAAATTAACTGAACATTTACAAAATTGTCTGTTGCTTTACTTGCAGTCTTGCAAGAACTCAACATGCATAAATTCTCGTAAAGTATCAGGAAGATTTAGCAACTCTTTCGAAATCGACAACGATCTGACGGTAGCCGCCACCAGCACAGGGCTGGAAAAGGTCGTGAGAAGAAGGTGGGGAATCAAGACGGATTTATTAGTGGAAAGGAAGAAGCTCCCACCGACTCGCATAACTATAACATGGCTCCGAAGTGGAAGTCGAAAAACAAAATAACATTTGAAGAATAACACTCAAGATCCCATCAAAAAGCACGTAGAAGTCCAGTGTTCAAAATCAGTAGGTAAATATTAAATGCAACAAAACAAAATTGCTGTGGTTATCACAGATGCGTGTTCTGCCCAAAAACTTGTCAGCTTTTTCTTTTATGTCTATATGTGTATCAAATTTGGATCAAATCAGTTCAACCATTTACCGTTAACTACTTTAAAAATAATCCTCTTTATTTCTGTAGTTTTTCGTTCTTTCTGTGTATATACAACAATATTTTTAAGCCAATTTTTCGAAAGAAAAAAAATTCCCCTTGTGATGGTTTTGTCCGTCTGTTCCTCGCCTAACTCGAGAACGAAAAGATACAGCGTCAAACCTTCGCCGATTGATTTCTACGAGTTCAAGGATTAGTGCTATTGAATATGAACCGGATTAAAAGTCTCGTTTCCAAATGCCTGAAAACTTACGATTGCATAATAATCTACACAACCGTACTACTTTTATGGCGTTATTTAGTTATTACCACAAATCAAACTAATGCTTACGCGCAGATTTTCAAATTACCGCAACAAAAATACTTCAATGCAATGGATTATATTATAAATTCAAATGTACAGTACTATAGCCTATCCTTTACAAAGCCCATTTTAGTTCACCTGCAATGCGTGTTTCAAGCGAGCGTGTATTGATTTACTATGTAATTTTCGTGCATACGCAAACAATTCTAGAAAATGAAATATTAAACTTATAAAATTCATAATTTCACACACCATATTTAAAAAATATTAAAAACTTCGTCATTGGCCTATGTGGATCGTTTCGGATCGAAGTGTTGCAGGCGCATCCTGCTGGGGCGGATCAGTAAATTTTGGAGAACTAATTTATTCGATGAATCATATCATATAGATATACCATTCCCCTGGAGGGCTTACAAACTAAGTATATAAGACTTGTATGAACTTTAGTCCTTTTGGCTATTTGTTGCGGAAACGGAATTCGAAAATCCGTTTTCGATCTCGAGTTATCGCGCGAAAGAACGCATAGGCACAACGAAACCAATACTATGCTAATCGCTATTGATTAGCATACTAATAAATAATAAAATAAATGATAGTAGAAACCAATTTAGTAAACATTGCCACATAGAAGAATATACAATCAAAACAATAACATATCATTAGCTAATTATTTATTCACAGTCAGTTACGCGCGACTATTATAAATAAACCGTTAATGGACGGGAGTAATAAAAATAAATGGTTTTTGTGTTATTAATCAATTATGGGACTTCTCTAAAAATATGCCGATGGATCATAAGTGTAATATGGAGATAAATAAATCAGTTTTTGGCAGAAAATGCCAATTGAAACGTTCACAACGGAGAAATTCCATTTGCAATGCTTTTAAGGTGCATAGAAGGCATAATAAACAAGTCGATGGCAAAGACCTTATGGATATAAGTTCATGAACCGCGCGTGTGACTGTAGATGTTGTTGTTCCACGTAAAGTAATGACAGTAAAACGACGTATTCACGGAAAAAACAGATTATTTTTACATACCAATAATGTTGCCAAATACTGTGCTAAAAAGCAAAACCCGGCTTGAAGTATAGCTTGTTTGCAAAATCGGTGTTAAATAAGAGGAGATAAATCGTTCCTGTAGATTTTCGATTTTGTTGTACGAAATGATTATTTTATTTTTCGAGGTCATTTAATACTTTTCTGCAACAATTTAAATATGTTTCTCACAGTCAAATTTAATAAACCCACGCAAAGCTACAAGGAGGTAACTGGAGAACGCGTTTTGTGCGTTAGGGAGCTCACCTCCAAATCCCAAAATCTCATATTGCCGAAAGGTATTGTTCATAGTTTCAAAATTGCACATAGAATTTTGCAACATTTTGAGAATTACCAAGTCTGAGTTGCTCGCAGTAAATCTCCGTCGAAAATCTGGAGTGGCAATTGTGCAACCAAAATAATTACTGTCGCAATCAATAGTTATCATTGATAATGAATTTTTTAAGAGTAGCTCAATTATTAAGGAGAACCAAATAAGGAATGTTTTTCTACAACATTCTTTCACACCTAAAATTGTTATGTCAATAGGATATTGATCTTATCGATGTTTTGATAATTGATCAGTGAGAATTTCCGCAACTCCAGATTGGCGAGTCGTCGGCGAGGAAGATTTTTCCAAATTTCATTTGAATTCAATTCAATTCAATTGAATGATATAAAACATCCGCGACAAAGTTCATAGCAAAGCGTTGCTATACCCAAGCTATCCATTTGATAATTTTCAGTGCCAAGTTGCGAAATTATTTCGGAAAGCTTCCTCTGATTGATTTCGTCTAATTTCAGCTGTTTCCAACATTTCATACACACATTACCGAAACATTGCTAAAACTTCTACATTTATTCGCATTTTTCAATTTCAACGGTAAAAATTCGTTTGTGGAAGTCCGCTTCGGGCAGTTTCTATTAATTTCAGTCCCACATAGTGGTATAATTGCAATCGTAATGAAAATACCTACGAACTGGTGGTTTTTTATCTTAAAAATTTCTGCATATCATTCATCTAAATAAGTAGCACCGTTCTTTGTTTAAAACATTCGTGCCGACATACCTATGATGCCCTTGTCGCCACCCAAACTTGGAATTTAACAACAGGATTGATGAGTACAAAGCTGAGAAATAATGTCAAGGTTTTCTTTGTAAAGTATCGATTTGTTCGACTATTACTATAGGATTTGTACACAGTGAATTTACAGGCACCAAAATTGATTTGAGATATAGTAATGGAGAGGTATGTAATTTAGTAATGATAGGAAAGTGTT